GGGGTGTGAAAGCCTTCGCTCTTCCCTTGGTGCTCACCGAAAGGATAAGATGAGTCATGCCTGTAAAAACTGGTGTTAAGAGACAGACAGACAGAAAGGGGATGCTAACACTTGGCAGTGGTAGGCTCTTTCTAGCCACCTTCCAGAATCTGCGTTGGACTCTGAGGGTGATTCCAGTGACCAAAAAGAGTTGATTGGCCCCTTGCCCTTCCCCTCTTCTGAGAAGTGAAGTATTATTTTTCAGCACTTTAAGTGTTTTTTTTGCTTGAAAATGGGAGTCATAGATGTGTTCAAGACAGTTATGATAAGGGATTCGTCCTTGAAATATGCATGAAGAAAAGGAATTGACATGTGTAGATTGACAGTGTGTTCTTAAGCTTCTCCATAGGTTGTACTGTGTGGGGTTTTATAACTGTTAAAGGGACTTGGGATTTCAATATGCCCTAGAGAAATGGTTTAAGAAAACTAGAAAGGGCACGGGCATGTTTTGCCAGCAGCTGTTAGGCAGTAGTAGTGTCTGGTAATTATGCTAATGAGTGGTAGTAAAAATCCTAGGACTCTTCAGTTTTGCTGACTAAGCATTTCTGAAAGCACCATTTTATCTGAGATGTCAGTTTATATTGTTAATTTTGATGGGAATTTTAGTATGGCCCCCAAAGTATTTTCTATTCCATGTTTGCAGTCCTGTTGTTATTTTGTCCCTGCCACAGCTTGTGTATTTATTCTCAAAGTTAACATAAAATTCTTCACACTACAGTAAACATTTTTTGTTTTCCACATTTCATTTGGAGTCTGTGCAAGCTAAGTCTGTCTCAAGTGCTAAGAACCGAATCTTCTCCTGCAGCAAGTTTAGTCTTTAAATACTGACTCCAGTCGAAGATTGCATCCTGGTGTCACTTGGGTATTAGAATCCTCTGCAGTACGTGGACAACTGTTAACCTCCTTCCAGCTTCCTGAATCCCTGCATCTGTGATTCACTTTTTATTCTCAACTACATGATACTAGAGCTTTAAACAAGTTCTCCAAAATCCCTTACTCCGCAGAAAAGAGGAAGGTATTCTGTGACCTAACACTTCGGTACTTAATGCTGCTGAAATTTGCTGTAAGGCAGAGGTATTTGTGGCTGAATATGTATTTTTGTAGATCTGCCAGTCAACCCCTATTACATTTTCCTGGGTTGTGTGGGTGGTTTTTTGGTGGTGTTTGGTGTGTTTGTGGTGTCGTGTTGGGTTTTTACCTCTCTTGCTATCAAATTTCCTCTCATCTTGCCAGTTCTGACTGGAAACCCAAACTCCTTGCACTTGGGCAATGAATTAATTTTATGTTCAGCAG